GAACCTGAGGACGGCGGGCGGCTTCCACGGCGCCGCGTCGCCCTCTGGCGGCGGTGCGCGGCGGTGCGCGGCGCTGGCCGCCCGGCGTTATCGCTCCGCAGCGCTGATCTCCATCTCCGCCGCGCTTATTGCAGCCCGAGCTGCTGATAAGGATCCTGTGCTCCCGCGCCCGCGATACGGTGTCATTTTCCCCGGCACAGTGCTTTCCATATGAAAGTAGCACCTGCGCCCGTGGCTCGAGGCGCCGACCCCCCTCCCCGCCGCTTTTTCATTTCCTTTGGCTGCCTGGTGAAAATAATGCGGTCGGTTCCGCAGCCGCCCGGGCCGCGGGGAGCCGCGGCGCGCTGCGCCCGCTCCGCTCCGCTCGGCCGCCGGCTGGTGGCCCCGGCCGGGTCTCCAGGCCGCGCCCCGCGCTCCCCGGCGGCCCGGGAGCCCGACCCGCTGTTCACGCTGTCGGATGGTGCTGGTGTCCTGGGCCGCTCGAGCGGTACCGGCTGGACACTAGGTCCGCGGCCGTCGTTTCCCAGCCTCTGTGGTGCGAAGCTGCATCTGCTTCTTTTTAGTTTGGTTTGTGCGCGTTGATTTTTGCCTCCACGTTTCTTAGCTTAGCCGTTTCTCGCGGCCTTCTGCTGTTTGCATTTTACTGACCGCGCTGGCGAGGTCTTGGTGCTGTTCGTTTCCCAGCCTGGCTGTTTTTATGCACAAGATTAAATGAGCGTGAAGAAAAATTAGTGAGGTGTTCCTTTGGACCAAAAGAAGTTTTTTTGTTGTTTGTTTGTTTTTTGTTTTTGTTTGTTGTTTTGTTTTTTTGCTTTTTGTTATTTTGGTTTTGTTTTAATTTCACACAGCTGAAGCTGATTTTGGACCCCCGTAGCCCCTGTGGCGCCTGTGATTACCTAATGCACGTTGCCCTGAAGTTGTATGCCGAGAGGTTTCTGAAGTTGGTGGCTCTCCTTCCAACGAGGGAGGAAACACGGCCTTTTCTGTTTGGGAGTATTAAAAGCATTTGTATGCAATGAATCAAAATGCATTCTGCTGTCACGTATAACTAATTAGAACAAATAAAAAAATAAATAAAAAGCAATGCCATTAAAAATCATCAATTAAAAAAAAAGCAGGAGTGTTTATCTTCCATTTTAACATCTGTATTTTTCATGGGGTGAATTTGTCAGTTTACCTATAAAACCAGCTTTTAAATTTTGAAATTAGGAACTGTGTTATATATACTTTTATCAATTTTTGGAGTAGCTTTTTTAAAAATTATGTGCCTCAGTGATAGAATTTGTGGATAGATCACTTTATATGTGAAACCCTTTAAATAATAGCTGCTGCTTTTTATTTTTCTTCTTTTTCTTTTTCTTTCTTTTTTTTTTCTTTTCTTTCTTTCTTTTTTTTTTTAACACTCTGGCGTGGTTTTGAGAGGTGCTCAGTGTGCAGACTGCAGTATAGGAAAGCCGGTCCTGCTTCTCATGGGCTTCATACCAGCTGAATACCGACTGAGAAATCTCATTTGAAAATACTGATTTTCTGATGGCTCTAAAATCTTATGAAAAGTGACATGTTCTAAGAGGTAACAATGTAACTACATTGTTATGATGTAGTTATGATGCAAGAAGAAATGTTCTAAAATTTAGACCCCCAAGCTTGCTAATGCATTTTTCAAATGCCATTCTCCTCTTCATTTTTAATGAAGGGTTTTTTATATGTGTGTCTATATGTTTATTGCCATATATTTAAACATTTTTTTTTCTGTGTTCTAATGATTACTGTGACAAGACTGACTTTTTCTCTTGTGACTCCGTGAGAAAGGTGGGAGGGTGACAGACGTCTGGTTTCTGTTTCATGGTCAGAGACGGCACAAGGGCAGCATTTCTCATGAGCTCCTCCGTGTTTTCGCAGGCCGTGGTGATTCTGCATGCACTCTGGCCGCACAGTTCAGGGGCCTGGGGTTAGTCCCCCACCCCTGGGAGCTGGTGGGGGCTCCTGCACTGCTCTCAATGGGTGGGGTAGGTGAGGCCCGGGGAGATCCACCCCTGTACTGCTCTACAACCTGATGACATCCTTTCAGCACAGAACCCCAGCCCCCGAGCCCTAGTTGGGAGCTCCAGGACATTCTGCCTGGACCCTTATCCTGCAGTGACGGGAAGCACCAACCCAGGGTCACCTTCCAGTGAGCTCACCCACCTGTGGATGGCCAGAGTCCCTACTGTGTGCCAGACATCCTGTGGCTGCAGCAGGGAACAAGCTCTGACTCTCCCACTCTCTTCGTCTGGCCAGGTGAGGGCCATGCCCACCACTGCACCTTACTGTAGCCAGTGGCTTTGGAAGGAGAGGGGGTGAAAGGCAGAGCAAGAGGTTAGAACAGAGCCTGTTTCACCTCTTCAGATACTTGAAGTTCATGTCAGTCTGTCAGGCTCCTAGGCCACGTGCTCTGCTGAGTATTGGAAATGGGGGCATGTGTTTGGCTGGGGACAATGGCAGTGATGAGGGTTTATTGCCATTTATTGAATACTTCTTTAGTGCAAAGCATCTCATCACATCAGATTCTCTAATAGAGCTACTGTGTACTGAGCATGCTAGAGTCAATTTGCCTTGGGACTCTTGTTTTAGATAATACATTTCAAGCCCAGAGAGGTTAAGTAACTTACTCAAGATCACACAGGAAGTGTAAACTCATGATTTTTGTTTTCTGCTGGTGTTATTTTAAGCATTGTAACTTTACTTCATGTACCTTTTCAAGCATATACAATGGTGTAATTCATCTCCTTGAGCCCATTACCCAGCTGCACTGATAGTACAGTGACGCACACCATGGTTGGACCCTACCTGACCCCAGACCTCAAGTCTCCTTTCCTCCCTCATAATCATCCCCAACCAAAGGACTCATGAACGCCCCCTGTAGGGCTGGAAGGGAATTGTGGGGTACTGGGCTATTTGCTTTGAAAAATGCCAACTCCCAAACTGCAGAAGCATAAATAATTTTGCTTTTGCTTTTTAATTCTCTATCTGGATTTAGAAAATGAGTGAGAAACAAAAGGACATCACACCAACCAGTTTTGTTCAAGAAAAATCAATGAGATTTGTTGTTGTTCTAACTAATTAATTATTCAGGTTTTAGAGCACCCACAAAAGCACAACCCAAAAGGCTCACTATAAGGTCACTTGCTACCTACATTGCCTTTGGTAAGTGGCAGGAGGCAGTGGGTACCCTGCAGCCAGTTGTCCCTCTGGGAGTCTTGAGAGGACTGTTCAGCACAGCTCTTGGGAAGTGTCACTAGGGAGTTGGGAGGGTTACTTGGAGCAAGACCATCTGGTTGAAGCCCAGGTCTACAACTTTGCGCCAGTGGCCTGGGGCAGAGCAGCCTCACTGTGTCCCACATGCCTGCTGCTGAAGGGCTCAGAGGGCTAGCGCTGCTTAGCTGGGCGGGACAGTGCCTGGCACCTGTCTGCTAGCTGTGGCTCCAGTGCCACCCACCAGGGTCCAGATGCCCTGCAGCAGGAAGATCTCAGGGCCTACCTGGCGTGTTCCCACCCAGCTGTCATGAGACCTCCAGATGTCACCACCAGATTGGACCAGAATTCTCTCACTCTAATACTAGCCTAATTTTGCTCTCCTAGGGGAGTCCTGAGGATTAAATGAGGGGATATACATACAGCTGGCCGGGGAAGGAGTGCGCAGGAGCTGGAGACGCTGGAGGAGCCTGCTGCGCAGAGAGCCACACCCTGCATCAGAGCCTGTGCCCTGGTGGATAGCAGAGGTGGGGTTCGAACCCTTCGTGGCCAGCCACATGCAGTGCGGCAGCAGCCTGCTCCATGCTTTGTGCAAAGGACCGCACGGTTGAGGACAGTGAGGCTTGGAAAAGTTAAGCCATAAACCCAGGCCATGTCGCTGGTCAGTGGCTGAATGAGGCTGAAATATTAATGGTATTTCTAACCACATTTAGTGCTGGTATTTTGAAGCTCACACGCGCACACACGTATACCTTAAACCTACAGATTCTGAATTCTTTGGCACTACACGAGTTTGTGTTTTTAGAAGACAGTTGGACAAGTCGCTCCTTTGGCTTCCCTGCTTGTTGCCACAGGCAGTGGTGCAGGAGGACCAGCTTGCAGAGCCCCTGCATCCCAGCCTCGGGGCCTCGCTTAGGATCCCTCACTGCTGGCCAGAGCTCCGCGGTGGACACTGCTGGACAAGGGTGCGCCCTGCGCTTTTCCAAACTTACACACTTCAATAAACCATCAGTTGTTAAAGGGGGAAACTGGACTTCCTCTAGGAAATGATGGCAAGTCGTGTGACAACACAGTTCCGAAGTAGTAGGTGAATTAATAGACCAACTTTTGTGCCTAACAGTTATTATTTATAAAACAGCTAAGGAAATAAATGCAATTAGTCTTTATGTTTGATGAACATATGCTAAAGTACAAAATATCACGTGGTCTTCTAGAAAGGAGGGACACTTGTAAATTTTGAGGCATGATGTAAAAGTTAGTGACTTATGCTATGACTTCTGTTCCACTGCAGCGGAGGTGTGTGTTTACTAAGAAGACACTCCTACGCCAGCCTGGTTGGTTATTTTAAACCTGAGCAAGACTAAGTTAATAAAATCTGTGTGTTCTTTGAATGGTTTATTTCTACACCCCAATATAGGGAGAGGTTATATCCTTCCCTCTACCTGTACCTCTGTCCCACCCACGAGCAACTGCCCTCCTCCTGTCTTCCACCTGGTGCCAGTTCTTTTGTATTTCAGGGAAAACAAGTAATATTATTTTTTTTTACTTACTATAATTTTTTAAATATGCAAAACTATTGGGAGTCCATCTTTAAAAGTTAGATACTTACTAATGAAGGCATTTTGTCATTTGAAAGGACGTCCGTATGACTATTCTATTAAAATGACTTGTTATCCTGATGTGGTTTAACAACAGCAGCAGCAACTAGAGGATGTGTTAAGACACAGTTCATGGCACATGTGATACGAACTTGTGATTTCTCTCCTCAGGGTATTTTAGAAATGCAAGTAACCCTCATCTTGAAGTTGCTGGAGAGACCATCTTGGCTTTGCAATCTGACCAGGACCAAGATGTTTCCTTTTTGCCACCCTAGAACCAAGCGACAGAGTCTTCTGGACCCTACTGCACTAGGAAAACAGGATGGACTCCTCTGGGAAGGTTGTTTCATGCCTGGCACCTTTGGCTTGTGACCTGAAGGGGAACTGATTGTATTTTATCTGCTGAAGAAGAAAAGATTTCTGAAACTTCCACATTGTGCACCCAAATGACAGACCCCTTTCCTGTCTGAGGCTCCCAGACTGAATCTTGGTGGGGACTTAAGTGCAGATGGCTAGGCCTGTGCCACATTCCCCAGCCCCACAGGCCTGACCCAGGACACCTTGTGGACAGGGTGCAGGCCTGCCAGCAACTTGTTTTGTTCAAGACAGACTATATTCGAGTCTCCCCTCCCGATCGCTTATTAGAAGCTCTGAAATCTTTACTGGACTTGCATATTTGTTTCCCTTTTGCTTTTATATAAAATATAGTTTATGGTGCTATATTTATTTTTAACTGAGATACTGTACATATGTAAATATCTTTTTTTATTTTTAGATAAGATCTCACTAAGTTGCTCAAGCTGGCCTTGAACTTGGGATCCATCTGCCTCAGCCTCCCAAGCAGCTGGGATTACAGGCGTGCACCGCCATGCCCAGCTTGTAAATAGCTCTTGACAGGAAGAAAATATATGAATGTAATATTAGCTTCCTATCAGTGAACTGAACAAATATATCATTGAAATTTATGCTGCAATCCGAGTTGCTGCAAACATAGCCCAGTTTGTTTACTTTTGAAAAATGTGACAAAGCTACTAAGAATGATTTATGGCAGGCTTTCTACTACTGTGGTTGGGACTTCTTAAGCACTCACCCTCTGCTTCTTTCCGGAACTCTCCTCACAAAGATGGCGTTGGTGTAAAGCTGAAGGATTTTTCATTTTCGTACAGATATATTGTCGATGTTTAAGAACTTGAGAGGGAAGTAGATAACTGAGATGCATGGATATCAACTTTCATGCTTTAGAATACTAAAAGATAGGAAACCATAGTTCTGATCAGAACTTGCCCACAAATACCAGTGATTCTGGGGGGTTAAATCATGTACTCTTCAAATTGATGTAAGTACACCGAACTTAGATTTCATGCTTTTAAAATTTAGACTCAAATGCTTTAGAATTTAACAGTTTTTTCATTAGTTAATAATTCAAGATTCTGTAAACATTTGATTAAATTCTGCATTCATATGTCGTTGTTCTTGTTTTTCTGTTTATCTTCTCAACAATGGGCCCAGAGAAGAAGGAAGAGTAGCCCACAGGGGATTTAGGAACCAGCTGCCAAGGGCCCTCTTTTCCTCTCTGATTTTTTTTTTTTTTTTGTATGTCTTTTTCTTCTTTTATTAAATAAAATTTCTGAAGCTACACATTGAATTTCCTGATATAAAGGATACCCCCTTCCCAATCCCCAAATTCTATTGAACTGGTTCTCTGAGAAGAACAGAAGGAATCCATACCTACCATGCCAAAGAAAATAAGACGTATGAGATTTTAGTTTGTAATCCAGGGTGACATTTAGGCAACTTTGACAGAATGAGTTAATCACGATCAGAAGCCACATATTAAAAAAAAAAAAAAAGTTTTGGAGATACTGTTTTTCTTTGGTAACAAGCAATCTTTAATTTTTTTTTTTATTGCTCAGAAAGTGAGACTGTCATGTTAAAATCTGTTAATCTAGTATCAAATACAGTTATTCAACTGCAATCTTGTATTCTATACAGAGATTAATTTACCATTAAGGGGAAAAAATGAGCTTCTACACGTGTTGTGAGGTGTAGAATTTGCATGCTGAACCACAAGGTGCCTGTGAGGCCCTTAGGGACTCTGGTACATAATCAACCTTTATTTACAATTCAATTTGTATGTTAAAATTGTCTATAATGTGAATGCCTTTCCAAAGCAAAGATTTCTCCTGGCTGCAGTTTCTTTTCAGAAAGTATCTCAAAGCTTAGGTTTGATTCTTTTTTGTAACAGAATTTTCCAAGGTGGTTCTTGGCTCCCGTCTCTCCTCTGCCTGCCTCCGCCCCCCCCCAGCCCCTTTGTAAGTGGAGATAATTGCTCCTGGGCTCCTTGCTGAGTGTGACTTGAGCCCACAGGTAAACTTCCTGTTTACTTGAAAGCTGGGTGAATTGATGGAAACACCTTTCTACCTCCATGCACTCAAAGACATTTTCAAAGTTGGTGAGGTTTAGTGTCGTTTTGCGAATTTCCTTGGAGGCCTCTGCGAGCCCACGTCGTTTTTCTGCCACGCTGACCGGTCCCTGGCCAAGGTCTGCACCTGGCCGCCCCCTGCACAATATGGAGACTTTCTCACGCGCAATTCCTCCAGGTGGCTTGCCCTGAATTACGCCAAGGTTGTATTTTAAACAGATCCGGAGAGGGAACAGTTTCCCAGCAGCAGCAAGAACACCCCCCCCCCCCCCCCCCCACACACACACACACACTGTTATCCAGGGTGACAGGGGCGGGGGCGAGCGGAGGCCAGCGCCTGGTCAAGTAGCTCAGGCCCTCGGAGGCCACGCATTGTCCTGCCCGGTGCCTGGCCGCTGCCGCCCGTCGTCACAGTCGGGCGGGGGCGTGGGCCCGGGGCGCGCGGGGGCGGCAATGACGCGCGGCCCCTGCGCTCCAGCAGGGATGACGCGGGGCCGGGCCAGGCGGCGGGCGGCGGGGGCGGGCGGTGCGCTACCCGAGCGGCCGCTGGGGGGCGCCCCGCGCCAGGCCTCTTTGCCGTCCAGGGCCCGTGCCCGCAGCCAGAGCAAGCAGCAGGCCCGTGAGCCGGTGGACTCGGACCCTGAGGTCTTCTTCTTGCGGGTGCGGCTAGAGGACACTGGGGAGGTGTTCCGAGTGTCAAACTGCCGCGGTGACACGACCGTGCGGGAGCTTAGAGAGGACCTGGACCTGATTGTCGGCATCCCCTTCAACCTCCAGCGGCTCCACTACTTGGACCAAGGTGGCCCCTGCCCTCCCCACATCCCTTGAGCTCCGGTGAGGGGTACGTGGTACTCCTCCTGCCTGAGTTATAAAGGGAGGCCTGCCTGCGAGGGCACCCCGGGTGTTAACACACACCGGCCACCTTTAAACCCCAGGTGGAAGAGCCACTGGGGGTCTTAGCCACATAGGGACTTTTCAGCCCCAAACACTGGATTCACAACAGACCCCAAACTCAAGGCAGACCTTACAGCAGGCCTCCTAGTCCACAGAAATCCTGCCTGGGTCAGACTACATCTGCCAACCTCTAGTAAGTCCAGCTCATAGGAGGACCCCAGATCTCCACACCACAGCAAGGTACCCCAGAAGCCCAGACCCTCAAGTTCCCCATGTCTTCATAAGGGACCTATGCCCCAAAGCCAGCTGTGTCCACACAAGACCATAAACCGAACAAACAAAAAAAACTCTATCCTCAGAAGTACCCCCAAACCCAGGACAATCTGCCTGTCAGAACCCCAAACTCCAAGCAAACCCAAGTCCTCATGTTATACTTGTCAACATTGGAACCCCAAGTCCCCTAGCCAGCCATGTTCTTACAAGCTCACAAAGCCTGAGACAAACCCTGTTGATCTCAGGACCCCAGCCCGGAACAGAACTGCCCATGACTGAACCCCAAATCTCCAAGCTAAACAATATAGCCTCAAACCCCAGATCCTTCACCAGCTGGGTCTCTCCAAGGAAGCTAAAATTCCAACCCTCCCCCCCACAAGACCCCTAAGCTCAGAAAAAACCTTGCCAAATTTGAAACCCCCATCCCCCAGGCTAATGATGACCACCTCACAACTGGAGTCCTCCAGCAACTGCGTCCATGCAAGCATGCCAGAGCTTGAAGGCCCACGCTGGGACCCCAGCTCAGAACAGACCTCCCAAGACTGAGCCCCAGTTCCAGGCTAACCATCATTATGTTAGAACCCCCAAACTTCCATCAGCCATGCCCATGCAAGGATGTGAAAGCTCAAAACAAGCCCTGCCCACACTAGGACCCCAAAACAGCATACATGCCCAAGACTCAACCCCAAATCTCCAAGCTAACCATTGCTACCTCAGAACCCCAAAACTTCCATCAATGGTGTCCACACAAGGACTAACTGAAGTGTTGCCCATCCCAGGACCCCAAGACCCAGAACAAATGGCCAAATTTGAACCCCAAGTCTTCAGGTAATGACCATTACCTCAAAACCCTGACTCCTCCAGCAACTGGGTCCACACAAAGACGCCAAAATTCAAACCAACCTGGACTACCTCAGTACCCCAACCAAAAACCGAATCCCAGATCTCCACACTGGAGTACTACCTCAGAACCTGGAGTCCTCTGGCAACCATGTCCACACAAGGATGTCGGAGCTCAATACAAACCCTACCCACCTCAGGACCCCAAAACCAAGGACAAACTTGGCCAGATCTTGAGCCCCAAATCCCCAAGATAGTCATGTGACCTTCAGAACCTGAGTCCTCCAACAGCCGTGTCCACACCAGGGTGCCAAACTTGGAGAAGAACCCTGCCCCCTCAGGGTCCCATGATCTCTCCGCAAGCACTGTCACATTTGCCCCTCAGATCCTGGAGCTGCCCTGGTGTCCACGAAATCCTAAATCCCAGAGCAGACTCTACCCAAAACTCTGGATTCTGAATCCCGTCTCCAGCTAGCCATCTCTATCTCCACACCCCAGACCATCAACAACTTTTGTCAAAGCCCCAGACAAACCCTGTCCTCATCCAGACCCCCACACCCAAAGCCAGCTGTGCCCACATCTTAAAGCTAGTCCCTGAGGTTACCATGACCACATCGGAACCCCAATCCATGCAAAGTGTCCTCAGAAGATTTCCAAGAATGAGACAAATCCTGCCTACAACAGGACCCCAAAACTCAAGTGAAATATTCCCATACTGAACCCACAAACCTCCATGAAATCACAGCTACCCCAACTCTCCAAGGTTGAAGTCAACCATGTCCATGTCAGGAAGTCAAGGTTCAAAACAAGCTTTGCCTGTATGAGGACCCCAAAACTCAAAAGCAAACTATGCTTATATTTGAAACTCAGATTCTTTTAGCTAAACCCACCCATACGAGGATCCCCAATTATAGACCAAACCCTGCCGAATTCAGTCAGAACCCTAAATCTTGGAGCAGATCCTATCACCAAGACCCCAAATCTCAGTGTAGACCTGCCTGATTTCCTAACCTACAGTTTCCACACTATCCAGGCTTCATGAGAACCCCGAATCCCAAAACAAGTCCTGGCCATACAAGGACTCCAAATACCATACAAGAGACCCTTCCCAAACCAGGACTCCTAAACAAACAGCAAACCTTGCTTTCATCAGAATCCCAAATCAGAGCAAATTCTGTCCTTATCAGGACCCCAAAGCTCAAAGCAAACCCTGTCCACATTTGAACCCCAGTACTGGCTCTAACCCAGTCTGTATCAGAATCCTGAATTCTGAGCTGTGTTCTTGCCTAGGAGCTCAAAGCTAGCCCAACCGGAATCAGAACTCAGTATCCGAAGCTCACCATGCCTAAATCAGGACCCCCAAAGACCCTTTGTCCAGACAAATCCCATGTGGGAGGTAGGTACCTGGGGGAGGCCAAAGACCCCACTGCTCAGGTCTCCCTCCACTCATCTCCTTCCCTCAGCCTGAATGCGTGGTTTCCCTATCCCGATTCCCTATAGTATTTAGGATATGAGAACAGGATCAAAGCCCCTGAGATCCATCATCTCCCCACCCGGTTGAAATCAACGCAAAATACTTCAAGAAAATGAAGATATTAAAAAAAAAAAAAAATCTCTGGGCTGCTGCACAGAGATGTGAGGAGCCGATATTGCAGAGAGACTGCAGCTGTACTGCAGGGCCGGGAGGCGATGGAGACGAGACCTGAGAGCAGCCTGTCTCCACCAGCCAGCTCCCGGACTGCCCTTCTGGGCTCAGTTTCCTAATCCGTAAAGCAGAGCCCCATTAGCTCTGGAATTCTCCGTGCTGTTCCCCCATGGACAGGAATGACTCAGGAAACTCCAAACGGGCAGTGAAGGCCAAGACGCTTTGCACTCTTTAAAATAGGCTCAACATTTTTCCATGGCATATTTATTTTTCTGCAGGAACATTCAAAAGATGTTCTTGGGCATTTTCAAGGCCTTATTTAGCAGGAAGAGTGTCTCGAGCCTAGACTGTACCTCACATGTTAAGAACGACGGTGAATCATTGAAGG